ATATTTTTATTTTAGTATAAAAATAAAAAATATTTATTAATAAAACAACAAATTTTAATATAAAGAAACAATATTAATTTTACTATATTTTTTTCAATTTTTGATAATATAATATAGAAATATATATATTAAAATATAAATTGTTATTTATATTATATTTTATTAATAATTATTAATATTATTATAGTTTTTTGATAAATAAATAAATAAAAAATAAATAAAAAATTATAAATAAAATATATTGTAAAATATTTAATAAAAACTAAAATTAATTATTTAGAATTATTTTAGAAATTTAGAAAAATTTCAAAATTATTTAAATAATAAAAATTAAATATAAAATTTTATAAAATTACTATTGAATTTAATAATATAATTATAAGAAAATTAATTATATTATATTTAATTTGTTTTTTAATATTATATAAAATTATTATTTTTATAATAATTATATTTAAATAAAATTATTACTAATTAATTTGTTTTAATATAATAAATCAAATAATAATAGTTTTATTTTACTAATTTCCAAGATATTATATAATAATATTAAATTTTATTTTTTATATATTTCTAATTTTGAATTGAAAATAAACTATAATTTTTTGTTTTTAATTTATTTCTAATTAAAACTTAAAAATTCCAGTTTATTCCAATTTTAAAATTGAAAACATACTTAAATATACAAAAATTTTAGTATATTTATATAGAACTATTTGAATATTTATAATAAAATAGTATGATAATAAAAATATATATTATATTATATACGTATATATAATTAAAGAAATAAAAAGTTCAATTTTGAAAGTTTATAGAAAAAATAATTGAAAAATAAACAAATAAATAATAAATAAAAAATAAATAGAAAACAAACAGAAAATTAATAAAAAAGTTAAATAAATAAAAAAACTTGAATAAATAAAGTCCAGAATATTCTGAACAATATACAAAAAAATCCTGAAATCAAATATATCCAAATCAGAACTCGATTTTATTGGATAATTTCAGTTTTGACATCCTATATCAAATATGTCCTTTTTTTAAATCCCATATCTGTAATATTTCAGAGCTTCATGGATTGACTTGGAAGTTTGCAAATTTATATCGATAAATGTATTATTACTAGTGCTCCGTCTGAGAAAATCGAACTGAAAACTGACATTAAAACTTATACAGTCTACCCTCTCTAAAATCACATTCTTTTAAATGGATTTTACCAAGAGAAGTATGATTGTATTACAATAGTTACTTCCCTTAAAGCATACGCTTGGATCTGGCATTATATGTGACTTAGAGTTGTAAATTATACCACCAAAAAACCGAGAACTAAACCGAAACCGAACCGTTAGAAGCACTACCTCTCACTATTGCTGAATTTGATCTAACTTGAATACTTTTATTCGTATCTGTCTTCCATTTTTTTCATGAACATGAATTTATTGATTTGTAGAATTACGTGCATATTGACGAATTGTTTGTTTCACTGTCTTGTACTCTGATTCTAATTTATTGCAAATTTATATACATGTACATGTACATCGAAATTATTAGTTACCTTTAATAAAAAAATAAAAAAAAACAAACGAGGACGTGATACTCGTTCGCAATATTTATAATATTCTAATTTGCTTATGATTCCATATAATTAATAAACGAAAAACTATAGAATTAAACGTATTTTATTGTCTAATATATATATATATATTATCACTGTTTGGGATATAAAACAATTAGCCTTACTCAAAGATAAAATGTTGGTGACACATTAAGCGACGAAAACGGCAAAAATTTGTAAAGTTGCAATATTATGAATATATAGTCAATGACAAATAAATATTAAAATCAAAAAATACAATTCATAAAAATACAATATAATTATAAAAAAACTAAAAAAAAAATACCTTAGAAAGCATTTACCCACCGACTTTTTTAAAAGTTCATTTTACATTCCTTTATTTCTTTTAAAAAGAGCCGTATATTTTCAAATACCGATCAATTTGCATTTCTAGAATCACAAAAAGATGTACTGGTACGATTTTTTTTCAGATCAGGAATCCATCCATTCTCCTAATTATAAATCAATATGTATCAAGATAAATTCAATCTAAGTCATGAAATGCTAAACAATATAAACCAAAATACATACCACACCAAGTTTGTAATCGAATTTTGGTGCATGATTATTCTCGGTTTTCCAGGTCCAATAAAACCATCCACTTCCACTCTCATATGCATCCATTTGAACTTCAGCCAACTTTAACAATGAGTCTTTTTTCGTTTGATTCCAATTCCGCCAATCATTATCACTATCACATTTGCAAGTCGAACATGGAAGCAAAATACTAGAATCAATAGCATGCATGTGGTCACAATCATTTACAACTGCAGCCCATTCAGTGGCAATTGTTTTGACATTTTCATTTGCATTACTAAAAAAGTTAGTTTTTTGTTCGCATGACCAAGACAAAATTAATTTTTCATAGTCGGATGAATTTGCGGAACTGAACTCCTTATTGTATATAAACCAACTATGACTACCTATTTAATTTTAAAAAAAGTTAATTAGTTTTATATTGATTTATGTTCATCGTGGTCAATTATATTATAAATTACAAACCCAGAATAGCACGATTTAGAGACTTTAATAAAGTCCACCATGTTGAAAATCCTGCCTGAGCTTCGTCAAGTACCACATAGGGTTGTCGGCTACTATCATTATAAGAGGCGGTTATATTTTGATAAGATCTGTTATAGAATTCGGAGAGATTTCCAACCACAAATTTAGAATTTGTCTCGTCGATTGGTCCGAGTAGTGATGTCACATGAGTATAATTATCCCTATTGAAAAAGTTCGCCAATGCTTTTATATGTCGAAGTGTACGTTGTGATTCATTTAGGCCATTGAGGCCATTATCATTAAAGTTTCCAACCTTTCTAAGTATCCCTTTATCATCTGGAACTTTATGTAAATCTACAAAAACTCTTAATCCGTACTTTCTCGCCCAATTGATTCCTCTCAACAGAAATTGCCAGCTCGCATATGGCACATATGATTCGCCCTCCAATACTTCAATTGCCCAAAATCCAATTTGAATTCTGACATGATTTAATCCAAATTCTGACATTTTTTTAAAATCTTCTTCATTAACAAACTCATTATAATGCTTTATAAATTTAGTTTTTGCCGCATCAGGGCCAAGTGATTTGGCAACTGAAGCTTCATCCGGAGCATCAGGACTGAAAAACGATGGAACAATCAATGGCTCAAGTACTAGCCAACCGTCCAAATTGACACCACGTATTGGATAACCTGCTTGTCCATATGGATATTCTTGATTTATTGGTGGTGAATTCAACGATGATTTTGTATTGTCAAATGTCGAATTATCTATTTTCATAAAAGAAGAATCGAGCTGAGGTAAAATTGGTATATAAAAAGAATCATAGGTGACGTTGGGTGGATAATTGAAATTTGTAGTTTCATTGCCTGAACTATTATTATTATTTGATTCGTCCGATTTTGAACGCGGTCTTTTAGCCAAGAAATAAATTCCAACAGTTATTACTACAATTGTGATAATAAATGCCATTAATAATTTCCACCAATTTCTTCTTAATGCATTTCCAGAATTTTCTGTTGCTGTTGGTGATAATGCTGAAATCTCTTTTATTATACGTGTTGGAATAACTCGTTCCGTAGTTTTATTGTCAAGTAATTCATCTGTACTGATTGGAATGATTTCTTCATCTTCATTACTTCTAAAATTATTAATATTAAATGACATATTTCTCCTCTCGTAATATTATTACAATACTATTACTACGACGATGACAATGACGACAATCTAGAGAACTATAAAAAGTCCTATCAAATATATTCAATTATAAAAAAAGAGAAAAAAGGTTTAGCATTCTATCAGTAATTCGTAATGTACTTTTAAATTGGCTCAATGCGCTACGTTCCACTTTACTCTTGTTAGATCATTCTGATTCTAAAATTCTTTTTATAGAATTCAGGAAATCTTCTAATCCTGTTTCTCATCATATTGATATTATTATTGTCAAAATTAACTTTATTTATACATACTTTATTAAATCTGATTTTATTTTATTATTGCAATATTATTGTTAGAAGTGGATACATCATAAATAGTTGCATTAATACATGTATTCTATGAGATCATTAGGATAAAGTGAAAATAGCATTCAGCGTGCTAATAATTTTGATGAAACAACCAGATTTCCGTTCTATCAATTCACTATTTTTATTTATGTAACTCAGAAATAATACGTACCGGTACATACCAATACGTTAATTAAGGAAATTAATACACGTATCTTTAATTGATGTATGTAAAAAACTTCACTTTTTATATTGTGTACCAGTACTGTTGTACATACATAGTTTTTATACCAAGTATACTATTAATAGAATTTAATTGCTCAGCCGCTAATTACATGTATTTTCAAAACCAGTTTACAGAGGCTTATCGTGTACTGGTATACATGTATTACAAATACAGCTCATAATCAGCATAATGCGGGTCGGAATTATCATAATGCCTCCAGGAGTTGCACATGTAATATATAGATATTATTATGTTTATACTTAGATTGGATTTAGTTTTACTAAATCAAAATTAAAATATTTAAATTAAAACTGAATATTTACAAATTCAATAATAAATATTATTTATTATAAGTTATTTTTATATGTATTAAAATAAAATACATGAAAAAAATAGTACAATTCTAAATTATAATTAATTATAAATAATTATACCAAAATATATATAATAAATATATTAGTTTGTAGTTTAAATTTGATAAATAACAAAAAAAAATTTCAATTAATTTGTAATAATTTATATATATTTATATTTACATACCCCTATACTATATTACTGGAAATTGAAAAAAATATAGTAAAATATAATAAAATTGATATTATTACTTTATATTAAAATTTGTTATTTTATTAATAAATATTTTTTATTTTTATACTAAAATAAAGATAATATAGGTTACCATCTTTATTTTAGTATAAAAATAAAAAATATTTATTAATAAAATAACAAATTTTAATATAAAGCAATAATAT